CCGACGGGGGAGACGGAGCCCCAGGTACCGAGTGATGGAGCCCACAAGGGCAGGGGCGGAGGCGGCCGGGCGATGAGAGCGGCCTGGCTGAGAACGGCGGCGGGTCTGGGCCTAAGCGAGGGGTTAGAGCGACCCACTGGAGAAGGGAGAAGGGAACCAGGACCCAGCAGGCCTAATGGGGGCGCTGAGGAGGGGACCGGGCGGGCTGGGAGCCCGAAGTTGGTGAGTCGGGAGGCGGCTGGGCTTTGACGGCGGCCAGGCTGGGCACTGGGTACTGGGCGCAGGAGGCCCCAGCTAGTGTGAGGGCAGGGGCAGGCCTCATTAAGCAGAGCTGAAGAGGGAGGAGCTGGAGAAAGGGACCGGGCAGCGGGTGAGGTAAGCCCATTTGCCGGGAGGTGAGGAGGGGTCAAATCTGACGCCGGCCCCGAGAGCAGCCGGGACTGGGTCTCTCCAGAGATGTCTCATTGGAGAGGCCTGAGAAGGGTTCTTAGTTGGGCAAGAGGCATTCTTTTCAGGGCAAGTGGCGATTGTAGAAAAGAACTAAGGGTGCTCTAGTGTTGAGCCGAGAGTGATTTGGGTTCAGTAAGGGAGAACGGAGGCAAAGGAAGAACGCTTCACTAATCTAGAAGAGCAAGGTGGTTGAGGAAATGGAAGCAGGGCCTGGTATCAGTTATGAGAGCTTCTGGGAATGCTGAAGGATGGCCTGGAGGCTCTGGGTCTTCAAAGTAACCACTCTTTTGTTCCCGTTAGTGTTTAGATGGGATAATTTGAAATGTTTTGGGTACTCCCAGGGTAGAGGATGAAGATTTTCAAAAGTAAATTTATTCTTTTCCATAACTGTTGACTCTTCCAAACTCAGCCCCCACACTCTCTCTTGGCCTCATTCGGAGCTGGTCTAGACTGCAGTCTGATTTTTCCTTACCTACTGTTTATGTCCTGTGCAAGAGCTAAGAAGTTCGATTTGGAGGATAGTTCGTTTGCTTTCCCATTTAATAATGTGGTCTGTAGTGAACATCATATCTCTGATCTGTTGTAGAAATGGAGAATTATTTCCTTATCTGCAGGGGAAATGGGCTTAGAGATCCCTAGTCATCAAGAGATCTTTTGACCATAGTTGGTGAACCTTCTGTGGAACTTAGGCTTGGGTATTTCCCAGACAGGTAACGGAGTTAACCAGGCCTGCAAATACAAGGTGATATCACTAAGGGAGGGATATGGGGAAGAGTGCAAAATTCCATTCCATAAAGTTGGCACCGCCCCTTGTTCTTCATAGTTCTTCAGGATCCCATAGTTTCTGCTATTAGAAAGTTGAATTCAACTGTGAGGGATCTGGAGGAAATGAGTAAAGAGCAAGATGGATTACTAAGACAAATGGAGTCCCTTCCTCCCCATATTTTTAAAAAAATAATTATTTAACTTTATTTATTTTAATTTGACGAAAGAGGGACAGAGTGAGAGAGAGGGAGAGAGAAAGTGAGAAAGCAGGCCGCCAGGTCCGGGACTTGAACCTCAATCAGCCATATGGGAGTCCATCGCCCTTAACCACCACACAAACCTGCTGGTCCCCCTCCCCATGTATTTTTTTTTTTAAAGAATTATTTATTTATTTATTTCCATTTGTTATTTTTATTTTTTTCTTTTATTTATGAGAGAGAGAGAGAGAAAGGGAAAGTGAGAAAGCAAGCCACCAGGTCCAGGACTTGAACCATGGTTGGCCATGTGGGAATCCAGCGCCCTTATCCACCACACCACCTACTGGCCCCTCCCCATGTATTTTTAATGGTCTGCTAACCTCGTTAGTCCCATTTAGATTGGTGCCTATTGGATTTTCCCTTATCGTACTTCTATTCTCCAATGTATTTAATCACTACATTTCTTAATTACAAAGTAATATGTGCATATTTAAAATATTTAAGCTGTAAAGAAGTATAAAAAGTATAAATCCTCCCACACATACCTCAGTCATATTTCATTCAGGAAGGTTAGAGATCAGAGACAGCAGATCAGAATAATGCTTCTTTGCTTTCCTGGATGTGCCACCAAAGGCAATTCTGTTTTCATACTGGTGCTCAACTCTGGTCTCTTACTCTTTCTACACTTTTCCCTTCTGGGGTGATACTTTGTTATTTATTGTGCTCCTTTCCCAGTTCCTTTTCTATCAAATTCAGACAAGCAGAGGATTGTATTGAGAATTATCATTCTCCTTTTTTAACACACACACCCTCTCCCACTACTTGGGTGAGTGTATAGGCAATGCCCAAATAGGTGGACAAAACTTTTTTTTCTCTTTTATGGGCAAGAAAGAAACATTAAGATGTATCATTTTGTTTGGAACAATTATCAGCATCTCTGCTAAATGGAAGAATTTGAGACTTTTGGTGCATGGTTTCCACATATTTATATTATTTGATGATCTCTTTCTTTCTTTTTTGGAGAGGTTTTCGCTATAGGGCATGTGTGCTCTCCAGAAAGACAGAGACAGAAAGCAAGAAATCACACACACACACCCCCAGGGGGGATGGCCATGCCGCAATCCCTTCTCCAGTCTCTTCTCGGGATCTTGGGCGCGCGCACACACACACACACACACACACACACACACACACACACACACATCATGAGTTTAAGCCATCAGGTCTGGAACCGCAGTTGACTACATGGAGTCCAGCAACATAGCCATTAAGCCATCTACTGGTCCCGACTATCTCTTTTTTATCTCAGAAGGTAATGATGGTTCTCCTTAAAGGATCCCTTTGTCTTTTTATAGTAATTTGAGAAGCTCCCAAGTTTCTGTGGATTTGAAATTGATTTTCCTCTAGAGCTCAGGTTGAGTACAGCTGGGGCATTTCACACATACTATCAATTTATTAATTGAATTTGTCCTTGGCCCTCTAATGTGCCCAGCCTTTGTACAGTGCCCATCAGTAACCTCGACTGTCCTGAGATTTTTCTCATCTGCAAAGTCAGTCCTAGAGAAAATTGTGTAGGAGTATATATATATATGTGTGTGTGTTTTGATTTCTTCTAGTCTTTGCCATTTTGTAAACCTTGGTTATATCCTGTCTCTTTCTTCTGTATGTCCC